GTCATTCACACTGTTCTACAGTCTGTGATTATAAGATTACACGTGTACCAACAATCACAACATTTTGATGAAGTTCAAAGTGCCCAAAGGCAAAACTAATATCGCTAACAAATTTGAGTGGATTTGGAGTATCCCTATATCTCTTGAAGAATATAGTAGATATCACTGGATTGTCTGCTCCAGAAATGGACATCGCAATTGCCAAAGCCGGCGTTAAAAACATAACAATAGCAAACAAACAAATCACACAAAATTAATCCATACCAAAAATGTGCATCTCTTATTTTTACTTATCGTATAGACAGACAGACAGACAGACAGACAGTATTCATTCAGTAAATAGGTCCTCGCCCATAATACAATCAGACTGACATTGTGTTTAGTGGGTGCGCAAAACAACCTTGCAGCTCTATGTCCTGGAGTTTATCAATTTCTGTACATGGTATAAATATAGGCCAACATTGTATATGACAGCATCAGCAGTATTAAAATTACTGCATCCAAACCTTGATATAGCAATTCTTAAATGCATAGGGATATCACAACACAAATATTTTTCAACATTTAAGAAAGTTGTAAACTCCTTGTAAAATATACATTTAGGAGATTCACTAATTGATAAGAACCAAAACTGTTTTAAGTTATCACCTAGCCTTAGCTTGAATAGATACACAAAATATTCCACATTTCCAATTTCTTGGCATAGTCAAGCATAACCAAATCCATATTGAAACAGGATGTGGCTAACATTTGTTACCCAGATATTATAGCCTAAGCTATCTAGTGATCTTAACATTAAATAACATTGATTATGGGAGTCTATTTTGTGGCATAGGTATAAGTCTGCACCAGAATTTGATCACTCTTGACATGTACAAATGCTGTAATGGGAGTCTGCAACACTCTCGAAGAACCATACCATTTAATGTAGGTTTTTTTCACCCTTAAGTATTGTTTACAAAACGTAATTTGCACAGCCTCTATTATTTTGGAGTGACATGTTCCCCCGATTTCAGAGCCATAACAAAGAAAAGGCACAATCATTGAATCAAAAATATACATTAAGTAAATCAGTGCAAACTATGTTACCGATTTTATCATATCCTATATGTATGTACCAATGGTGACAAATTTTCAGATATATCCCCATATCTGTTTTATTCAATATCAACCCACAATAGTAACCCATGCTTTTCGCAATTTAACTGGATTGAGTTGTCAGGCACGCTTGTATGACCCATATCATATCCCAACTGCATAGATCAATGTTCATGCTGTTGATCACTGGATTGTCTGGTCCGTTCTCGATTATTTACCGACCACCGCCACTCACTTACTCATTACTTAAATGAATTTCTCTTAGTTGCTGATAATGGCTGCTGAAAGGTTCATATAATTACATCATTCGATGGAAGCCCCATCCGCAGAAGCAATTAATGATAGCAATAAATGTACATTTAAAGCAATTTTGATTTTGGAATGAAATATGTGGGCAACTCAGGTAAACACAATAAACAAATACATTATTAAAACAGAATACGATTTCATATAACCAAAAAGGAAACGCTTGATTAAAAGCTTAAATGTGGGGAGAAGCAATTATGGGTAAGTAAATGTAAGTCATGCTTTATCTATCTACATGTCAAAACCTTACTTGCTTTCGATGTTTTTGGTGTTTCTCCTTCTACTGTTTCTGGATTGGTCCATAATTCAAAAGGACCTTCTTCAGAAGCAATGCGGGATTCGGTCACATCCTGTTTACATTGACAACGTCCAGGTTCAGCATAGTAAAACCCTTTGCACTTGCCTCCCGTGCAGCAAGCCACGGCACATTCAAGTTTTCTTTCAGCAGTAAAACTTTTCTTATCTGTAATTTTAAGGTTTCCACGTAGCTTCGTCAGGTTTGTTTGGTAAACTAATGAGGCGGCAACAAAATTCAAACTCAAGAGAGAGAGCAGAACACCCTTCATCATGCCTGCTGCCTGGCGAATGTCAAAATCGGAGCAGACTCAAGTTTTAATCGATGTGATGTTTTATATTTAATGCGTCGCAAGATTTGTTGCCCAAGCAGGCTAGTCGTGAATCAATTCTTTGAGTGGCATTTAGACGTTGCTGCGGATAACAACGGGGAAAGGATATGCAACTTTTCTATTGTAATGTATTGAAGCAACGAAAGCCTTTCCACATCCATAAGAAATCTATGAGTATGAGTATATATTTGTTTCAGCGGTATTACAGATGTACGAGTACTGTAAATCCCCATGGTCCCCAGTATGGCGATCTACCTTCAGTTGATGGCAGTCTATAGCCTGTTCTTACATCGATGTGACGATAAACATTAACTCACTCAACCACTTGTCAACTAAACGGCTTTTGAAGTACTAAGGGGTACTTAGTATTTATGTAGGTATAACAATGAGTGAGTGAGTTAAGAGTTTACATCGCATCGGCCATATTACAGTCATATAGCGATGAAAACAAGGTAACCAACTTAAAATATCTGTCAACAAAGGACAGTAAACCAACTAGACTATCACAGAAATATATATTTAAAACTAGTAATTCAATCTAAAATACTTTAACTAGAGGAGGTTACAATATAAATATAACAGGCTATAGATCGCCAACAACTGAAGGTAGATCACCATACTAGGGACCATGGGGATTTACAGTACCTTTGCTACCTGCATGGACCCTAGTTGGATTTATACCATTCCTGTAGCCCCTTGCGATTGTAGGAAATATTTAGTCAACTTTAAAAATCTAGTAAGTTTAGGCACTCGTGAAGAGCCACCTCGTGGTGGGTGCTGGGTAACGCTTAGCGCTCTTGGACCCCCCGCTGCGGACCCTGGGTATATTTGGTCCACCAACCTGTTGGCCGTGGGTTGCGCCCCTGTGTCGATGGAGGACGGGAGTCTGGTGGTTGAGGGCACTGGTTCCAAGAACAGTGTTCTTTTGCCCAACACACCACTTTGCCCCTTACTTCACCTAGATGGGTGGTTGAATGGGCCCGGTTCAACCAATCGGCTGGTCACACCAAGACCTGTGTGTGCTACAATTATGTACTCTTGCACAAAGTTTTTGGAATTATCAAATTATGTTTTTCAGTCTTGGCGAATTTTCGATCTCGGAATATCAAATATACTATTTCATGTATGTATGATTTTGCCTAGAGTCGTATGCCCAGAAGGCGGTGGCTCATGGGCCTATCTGGTGGAATCATTAATATCTTATTTTGCCGCTGGAGTATATCATCCGGGTATCCTTGGTGCTGCAAGTCGGAGACCTGCTTGTTCTTAGCATTGTCCTTGTGATACTCCGTGGTGGGTGGGGAGCTCGGATAATGAAATTACTACATTAAAAATGGTTTATGAAACCCTCACAAAAAAAACAACGTCCTCTTGAAAATGATCCTGAAGACGATGACCTTCGACCGTCCAAATCATTTGACTTTTGGCCACTCTATCTTGTTATTGAAACTGTTGACAACACACAATTAAAGTTGAATCCTTTCGCAGTTTCCAAGGGTATTCAAGGAATTGCCGGGGAAGTTAAGAGCATTAAACGTTTACGTTCAGGTGTGCTGTTGGTTGAGTGCGGGAAACGACAGCAGTCAGTTAAGCTGATGAGCACAGAATCGTTCGTCGGCATTCCTGTCGCTGTCTTCGCTCACAAGATATTGAACACAAGTAAAGACATCGTCAGAGATCGTGCTCGATTGTATTCTGACAAGTCAGAACTTGATATCGTGACTGAAATGAAATATCAAAGTGTACTTCACGTAAAACGCTTTTCGACCCGTAAAAACAATGAAACCGTTAAAACCAATACTTATCTGTTTTCCTTTTCGTCACCAACTGCTCCCAAATCACTGAAAGCAGGTTACTGCAATATCAATGTTGACACCTACATTCCTAATCCACTCAGGTGCTTTAAATGACAGGGATGGTATTCATAAAAGATCTTAAGTCTGAAATATGACTTAAGTTTTTGAAAAAAACTAAGTTTTTCACTATTTCTGACTTAAGTTTTGAGATTTTACTCAAGTCATATTCATAAAGCAACTTAGGCTTACGTTTTGGATAATTCCTGACTTAAATCTAAAGACTGGGCAGGGGTAGGCTTAACTGGAAAGTGTTTGACTTAAGTCAGTAGGCAATATGGCTTCTGTAGCGCTGAGGCGTCGTTCATTTCACCAAAGAAGGCAAAGTCTCGTTGAATACAGCGATGAAGAATTAATTCAGCGATACCGTCTAGATGGTAATGGCATTAGATTCGTCGCAAGTCTAATAGCGCCAGACGTTGAGCCCACAACCACTCGTAACCACGCCCTGGTTGCCTCACAAAAGACGCTTATCACACTGAGGTACTTTGCGACCGGAAAATGTCAGTTGTGCAATGCGGACAATCAAGGTGTCAGCCAGCCAACCATTTCCAGAGCTGTGAATGACTGCATACGGAGTTTGTCATCTGACAGGATTGTCAAACAGTTCGTTCGCTTCCCCCTACAACTTCGTGACATCAGGCGTCACCAACTTTCCAGGAGTTGTGGGTGTGATCGACGGAACGCACGTTCAGATTTAAGCCCCAACAGTAAACGAAAATGAGTTTGTAAACCGGCATCACTACCACAGCATCAATACACAGATGGCTTTCGATAGCGAAGACAGGATAATTGGATTACATATGGGGCTCATGTGTAGTTAAAAACAGACCAGCGTTTGAGGCTGTGATAGAAGCCATCAGAGCACAGTACCCATTATAACGTTGAGTACAATTAGTCGTGCCATTAACATCATGTAATTTGCTTGTAGCTCCCCACAGCGACAACTCCTTGTGTACATTATAGAGTGCTGTTGAGAGCTTTCACGCTTGCCTTCTTCCACTTCCGTCGTGCAATCACAGGTTCGATACTCATTTCGTTCCAAATATTTTTTATTGATATATCAATAGTTTCCTACTTGTATATATTACTTACCCTGTACATTTCAATTCTCCATCAAACACAGCTAGATGCCTATCATTTCAAGCGGGGGTTACGGGCGCAACTCTTACCCTAACCCCTTTCCTAAGACCATTGGCAGGACCACAAACAAACTACAACAGGTATGTAAACCTTCGTGTAAAGTTGCCGATTGTGATCAGCAACATAGAGTGGTGTCCCTTGTATTTACCTCGAATAAACATTGAGCAATCGTACCCATTACACATTAAAGATCACAAACGTTATTACATTTAGTCTGGATAACCGAAGCAAAACGCAGTTTTCATAAAATAGGAATTCTGTAATAAGGTTGGAGACTTTGCGAGTATGCTGAATATTACTAGAAATTATTTTCTTAAAACATCATAAACGACCTAAATAATCTATTTAAGTGTTACTGTATTAATATTATTTATTTTTCTAAATTGTTTACTGAATAAGTGACAACACAAACTGTTGTTTACTGTTTACTGTGCTGGAGATTTATGTACAGGTTACTCTATGATATTTTATTTCATAACCCAGATCGCATAAAAGAACAAGGAGCAGTGTTGAGAGGGGCATTGACCAATTCAAACGCAGATTTCCTGTTCTTCATGGGGAAATCAGGTTAAAACCTGAGAAGGCTTGCAAGGTAGGAGCGAGTGAGTGAGTGAGTTAATATTTATCGTCACATCGGCAATATTTCAGCCATATCGTGACTGCAAGGAAAGACAAATATAATCAACAACAGTTATTTCTTTAGCACTTGCCACATAAATAATACAAATAGATTGACAAGGTAACAAAGCTTAATGTCAACAATATGATTAAGAAATTACAATTCCCTCATCTTCCTAACTTTGTACTATTGACAATTTAAATTCTATTTGACTAAAGGTCCTGCAATAGTTTTTCTAGCAGAATCTGTTTTATCCTTATATTAGACAGAGAAGCATATATGGCACTTAACACCCAAATATGTAAATATTTCTGATATTCAGCAAATACACTTATGGTACTTTTTAAGCTAATTCAGTTTCATGATTTTATGTTTTAGGTATTCCTTTTCAATGTGAGACATTCTATTTCCAGCTGCAATTTCTGTTTTAACGGAGCTTCCACTGCGTGGCATCCTGGAGCATCTGAATGGCCTGGTGGCTCCTCAGGACCCATTCTGGCTCCCTCTGGCTGTGGATTGGGGTCACATATGGCTGCATAAATATGTCTAAAAATATAATGATAGAAATGTGCATGTAATTTTCATGTAAATGTCCTTTCAATTTTAACAGGCCTATTTTGTTATTGTGTTATTAAAATTAGATACAAAAATCAATAGCTGTTGTTCATTACATATATGAATCATAACAGACAGTGCAGTTAAAGCATACCAAAACTATTTGAATGTATGAACACATTTATGCACAAGTGACGTGATGATATTCTAACCGAAAGGTACCTCATATCATCCATATTTACCTGTCATCGGTTGGTACAAAGTCAAGTACCTGCAGCATTGTTCAGTCCACTGACCCAGGCACACCTGTCAGTGCCACATTGTCCTGGCTTAAAATGTCAATGACAGCATCAGTCACAGGGCTGATTGGTGTTGGTGCTGGTCCACCTCCTGCATTTAAATTTAATCACAATCATTAATTTGATTTCTTTTATTTAAAATAACTTCATGTATATGTTCATTGGAATAGGACAATCACTATTCCATTCAGGGTCAATTTTTAAAAATAATTACCCTTCATACAAGAAATTCAATAACAACAAAAACATAGGGAAGATTGATACTGATTCTTGATCAATCAGTAATAACTTATTTGTTAAGACAATTGGCAGAAGACTGATAGTTATCATTTAATACATGTGACTCATGTACAGGATATATGAACTGAAGAAAACTACTTGCCTGTTTCTCTAGTCATTCTGCTGAAATCAGAATATTTCTGTTTTGATTGGCTCTTTTTGTTCTTCCACTTTTTTCTACCTCTTCTGTAGATCTGGGATGCAGACCAGTGGAGTTGATGGTTGCTGTAATAACCTGTTGAGTTGAATGAAAACTGTCAACCTTTATTATGATATACATATGTTACTATCTGCTTATGAATTACTATGTCATAACCATAACATTTTAGAAATCAACTATATGTTTTATGATTGTGGACAAATAAGAGGCAGAGCATTTGGGAGAAAGGATATTCTTAAAAAGTAGGATTTCCTAATTTTCAGTTTTCCATATATTCTTGAAATCAATTGTTCTCAAGTTTATTAATCGAATCTACACTTATGATGATAATACTTTAATAGATATCACTCAAACCTTTCAAATTTGGTCCCAAGTCTGCAGCAAGTGAATTGTTAGAAAACAAAACCCAGGAAATTTTACAAATATTCCTGACACTACATGCTGTAGCCTCATCAAACTACTTATTTGTATGAGGTCATGTTCGCTTAAAAACACTTTTTCGTTCATACTTTCCTTCGTTGTGTGACTTCGGCTAATCATCACCTACACTCACTACATTTTTCCAGTGTTTGATGCATTTTTGGCTGGTTCATAGGCGTACCAATGTAATTCAGAAAAGAGAAGAGAAAATCGTACATATACACGGCTTACATACAATTCAAAACAAATAAAAACTATGCTTAGCACGTAGTTTAAGACATTTCTGTATTCTTGACTTATGTACGTACAGCTTGACAGTCGGACCAAATGTTTACAGTACCTGCCACGCCTCTTGCCGCTTCGCCGATGTCACGCCCGGACCAAACTTTCCTTCCAACACACTGGCGTTTGTTTCAACGAGTTCTGTCAAAAGCAAGACCTCCCCTTTAATCCAGTTGGGTTTTCTCTCCTTTATCTCAGCCTCCGTCATATCTGTACCTCAATGTGTCGTCTGCCGTAAATAGCAAAAGGGAAATCCCAAGGAAAGTGATTTTCACACCTTTTTTAAAAGAGTTCCACCGGAAGTCTAAAAATAACTCGGATTCACCCAAGTGATCACGCGGGTACGCACTACGAAAAAACTTAGTTTGTCTTTGGAAACTTAGCTAAGTTTCTGACTTAGTAGCTTTATGAATAGCAACTTAAGTCTCAGACTTGGCTAAGTCAGTTTTCAAAAACTTAAGTTTGGACTTAGGACAAATCTTAGTTTCTTTATGAATACCGCCACGAATATGGCCATTTGGTGTAAATATTTGCACATTGTCCGTTGTGTGTGAAGACACACACAACTGAAGACTGTACAAGTACCTTTAACAAATGCACCAACTGTTCAGGAGAACCTTCATCTTTCTCAAAAGTGTGTCGAATTTGGAAAGAACATATGCAGATCAACAAGATCAAATATACCCAAAACATCAGTTTTTCTGATGCCAAAAACCTTGTAAAGAGATCTGAACTAACAGAAAGTTATGCGTCAATAGCCAAAACACCAACTGAATCAAGCCCTAAAGTCTACACATCATCCACAAGCTGTCAAACAAACTTGACTTGGGTCAAAGGCGACAATCCACAGATTTTGTATCCTGCTATATCATCTCAAACTACGGAATCACTTCCTAGTACGTCCAAGTCATCTTCTGATCATAAGTCATCCTCTCAGTCACATATTCAGAGTCTCAATCTTCATCTGATACTCAAGAAATTGTTAATAGCAAAAATAAACCGAAGCAAAAACAAAGTGGCAGAGCCCCAAAAGGGTCGGAAAATAAAATTCAGCTCTACAACAAATATGGATCTCTTGAGGCCATGGACGTATGTGAAAACGTCGATCCTAGGGCACATAGCTTGTCGCCCTCCCAAAAAAGTGCGGGGTAGATCCCCAATAAATCCCCCCCCCAAAAGATCATGTCTTTTAATAATATTGTACAGTGGAACTGCAGAGGGCTAAGGAATAATTTCAGTGATTTGCAGCTATTAGTCCAGGACTTCACACCATCAGCCATTTGTCTCCAGGAGACATATTTAAAACAGACGGATACATTTGATTTACGCCATGTCAATGCATACCATGCCTTTTCACCTCCAGGGGATCGGGCCACTGGAGGATCTTCGATACTTATCAAACAAAATGTTATCCATAGCCATGTGATACTTAATACTGGTCTCCATGGCCAGGCACCTTGTATCATTATGGGAGATTTAAATGGCAACAACCCGCTCTGGGGTGGTACAACTACTTATGCTAAAGGCATTACAAGACTGCAATCCATGACCGAAATGTTGACATTTGAAACATCGGAGCTGATTGGGGACATAAATATCCACTCCAATGTTAAAATAACCTGCCTTAATTGTTTCTGGAAGGGAAGATCGAGAAAACGTCACCAGATAGGTATTTGTTTTAGTAATGATAGTAAAGATCTATTTCATCTAGTCTTTTCTTTTTTTCATTACAAGCTGAACCAGCTTGTTGGGGTAACTGGTGAGTAATAAGAAAGTAAGATTCTTTATGGATAACAACTTCTTTATTATATAAGATGCGACGTTTCGGTATGCATTTTTTATACCGTTGTCAAGCAAAAATGAAGTACTTCAGCACAGAATGCAATTTTATCCCAACAATCTTGAGACAGTTTTGATTTCTTGGTGGTGTGAAATTAAAGTAGTTTGAACTCCAGACCTTTTGACCAAAATGTGCTTGTGAATTGCATCGTTGGCTACGTGAAACAATGATTGAAGACATTCTTGCAGAAAGTGGAAGTATTCCTCAAAGGAAACAAACACAAAGTTACAATAAACAATCCTGGCAGATTTAACTACTTACACTGATTCACAATGCAAGAAGCAAAAGAAAACAAAAGAACATATGAATATTAACATTTTCATAATCTTACTCTTTTGGATGCAATCATTTGATAGTAGTGTTTCAATAAGTTCTTTGTGCATCATATTTGCACATAGGACAAACATTCCGTGACTCTTCAAGAAGTATACAGTCAAAGAAGTATGATGGTCCGAAGGTTCTTCCCATCCATTGTCATCACCCCTAAAAGTCCAGTCCTAAAATTAATGAATTACTAATTGTGACAGGGGTGTGTGATCTTGTTGCATCAATATATAACACAATCGTTCGTCCAGCAGTTGGCGCTATTCCCACTTTAACATTGCGACCTGTGACAGAATGGGTGTATAAAATGAAACAGGGTACATTCGGATGAGGTTAACATACATACCCCAATTGAAATAACTTGGCCACAAATGAACACTGGCATATGCTACTAACACAATACATTATCTACTAACTACAAAACAGCTATTTTTGCTTCTCCTTTAAAGGCAGGATTCTTCTGTGATTGTTTCAACCTTAATTGTGACCCAAATAACGCGACCGCCTCCGTGGTGTGGTGGTTAGAGCGTCCGCCCGGAGAGCGGAAGGTCGCAGGTTCGATCCCCGATCGCGTCATACCGAAAGACGTTAAAATATGGTGGTTGTTGGTCCCTGCCTGGCGCTCGCCATTAATAGGTACAACAAGGACTGGTCGGCTCGGAGCCAGTATAATGTGTCTGAGAGGGGTATTCATGCTTCACTGCGGCTTGGTATATCAGTAGGCTAGCACTATAAATCCAGCTTCAGTCCGGGCTAGTACAAGCAGCCGCACATACACATACACACGCATGCACGTCGTCATATGAGCGAAATAT